AGTGGATGGTCAAGTAAAGGTAGCCCAGGAATGCAAAGAACACTCTCTCGTCAACGAGTACTCGCTACAGTGCTTTGATATACCTGAACGGTCTTACTTGCAGGACCCTTGTTTTTCCATGCAGCTATTGGTGAGAGTTCACAGAACAGGGATTTTTCTTCCCACTAGGTTATGCAAACATCTGACACAAAAGGCATCTTGTTTTAAAAGGTATTTTATTAATTAGCCTCTGAGAAATGTACAATGAGAAGCATTCACTTTAACTAGGAACATCAAAATCGCCCGGAAAGCCACTGTGAATGTCTACTGATAAGTAAGATTACTGGGATGTTTCCACATACCAAGTTCCAGCCTGGGTTTTTAATTGTTATAAACAAAAAAAAATTTTTTTCAAGGTTTTGTATTGGACTTCAATCTGCTAGTGTTTTTGGGTTATTTCAGATTTGGGAGAAATTTTGAAATCTATATTTCAGGTGGTTGGTTTCGCTCAATGGATCGCTGTTTCACGTGGTGGTTGGTACAAGCCAAAAGACGGCGACAAAGAAATTTGCATTTACGCTAACAGTTCAACCACTTGTTCTTTTGCTTCAGCCATGGGTTTCTTTGCCATCCTCAGCGCAGTGGGTTTATTGTTTTTGGATGCCAAATTCGAAAAGATTAGTTCGGTACCAACAAGGAAGCGAGCTGTTACTGCTGATATGATACTTTCTGGTTCGTCTTTTAAATTTTATCAAATATGTGGATTATTGTCTGGAGATTATTCGAAATTCCTGTCACATTATTTTTTACGCTTGGTTCTTATAAGTCGTTCTACTGATATCAACTTAGTTGCTAATGAGGAAGAGGATAGAGATTTCAGCTTAATGGCCGGTCAAAAAAGGATAAAGACAAGGATGAATAAAAAAAACATAAAGATCTTAGCTCTAAAGGGATAGATTCGTCACTTTCTGGCATTTTCAGAATTTTTAGACGCTACGAAAATAAGCGTGAACATTAAACAGATAGTTGCTTGAAAGATTACAGAATGGTTACTCTGCTAAAAAAATTCCTGCCTTTAAAATTATGTTTTTGCTGGTGAGTTTCTGTCCCCATATTGCTTTTTTCATATTATTACATGAATCGCAGTTGTGTCCAGATTTGTTCAATGCCGTGAACTTTACTGTGCTGTTTATTGTACAACAGCACAATAAAATTCGTTCAGGTCCGAGTAAGACGCTAAATTTATTTCACGAGAGCAACACACAAAAAGAAAAACGCGCTATGCACAGTAACCCGTTTTGTTTTTTTTTTTTTTTGCTTATTTTGCACCAGACAGTCTTTCAATTTTGACGGATAAAGAAACCAAAAGCATTAAAGGAGATGGATGAAGTAAAAGTGTTATTGTTAAAAAAGCTCAGTTTGCAAAAGCTGGGATTATGGCAGTATTGTTTGCCGACAAATTTATCTCCAGGACTCATGGAAAACTAAAACATGCAAAATAATATATAATAATAGTGAAACTATACAATATTTCAGCAGTACTAGCATTCTTATTTTTGATCACGTTTTTTTCGCTGTGGTTGAAATATGGCGACGTGCAACTGGAACAACCATTCGAAGGTGGCACTGCCAAAAGCGCCATCATTTTCGCTCTCCTTTCAACAGTTGCTTGGGTAAAACTTCTTAGTCTTCACTGCCACACAGCATTCAACATTGAAACAGCGTAGTTCTTAGGAAAAACTCTGTGAACAAATTTTTCCCGTTTAACGCCTTGGAAATTTAAACTGGCAAATTGCAAAATGTACCCAAATAAGCTCTGTAGATATCATACGAAAAAAAATAATTGGCCAA